CCAACCAAAGCGATTCTATGATTCTATGAAAATAATTGTGTGGTAATAGAAATCCTCAAAGAGTAATATTTTGCATTGCCGTATATTTTGCAGACATTTATGAGAACAAATTAATTTTTGAGTACTTTAAAGTAAAAACGGTGGCCAGTTTCTAAGTGTGAAGTGCCAAGCACTCTCAGTAAATTCATTACATACTTTCCTATGCAGCCTGTTCAGCACAGTATCCTGTTATGTCTGAATTTCCCAGTTTCCTGTTTTGAAGACCAACCACTTGGTCATTGACGTTGAGTTTTAAAACTTTACCCAGTCTTTTCCCAGAATATGAGAAAACTAGTTACCTTTTCATATAAAGCTGCACTTCTTCCTTAAATTCAACTCTAGACCCCAACAGATAAAAGTATAATGAAATTATTTAGCTACTAAATAGTGCTAATTTAACTTAAATTTTTCTGCAATTATATCTTGTTTTCTGACAGGCTCACAAGATGGCGTGGCCATTCCTAGAACCAGTAGATCCCAATGATGCACCAGATTATTATGGTGTTATTAAAGAACCAATGGGTAAGTGTTTCTGAGCAGTAGCGTGAGCAAGTGGACTTGGGTTTTTGAGTAGCAAATTAATTACTTGCTGACCATTTCCATCCAGGGATTTTAAAGATATGTTTTGCAGAATACACAGCTTTTGCAATTAGGCAGAGGAAACAATGTGATCTCTAGTTGCTGTATTCAGAAGTTCATGAGGGTTAATATATCTGCTTCTAGGCTGACTCCTTAATCCTAAATACTATCAGTATAAAATGTGAAATTCGGTGCAGCAGTAGGATAGAATTTTTGGTTTTAAATTACTTTTCAAGAGGACAATTTTGCTATGTTTTGCTTTGCTTGGTTTTTTTCTGTCTTTGTGCATCAGTTCCTCCTACGAAGTGTGGGCTGGGTCCTCTAGAGTTTGAGGAGGAATTGGTGCTAATACAATTAAGTGTGACATGAAGCTTAAGATGGGGTTTAAAATTATCTTCATCTGAATTGATAGTATACTAAATTTCATATTATATGTAAGCTGTAGGTTCAAATGTTGTGTATGTGGGCGAAAGTGGAAGAGGAGATGCTGCAGCTTTACAGCGCTTTACCCTGATCTTATTAGGCCTTGCCGGTTAGCTAGGAATAAGCTAGATAAACACTTGAATGTGAACCCTCTTGGGAAAATCTACCGCCGCCAGAAATGGTGTTGCTAAATGTTATTCCTTTCCTTCCAGTTACCAAACCAATGCCTTTTCATATGTCTAAATGAGAGTTAGTGTATAATTTGAGTTTCACCACCTACTCCCTACTGATGCTAGAAATAGGAAAATTAAGTTTAGTGTCTTGGCAAAATTGTAGTATGTTGACTGAAAATAATAATTTGTTTAGAAATTTTGTTCTTTCTCATTCCAAAGTGTTGCATTGTGCTGTTATGAAAATGCTAAACAACTTGCTATTCCATAATTGATGCGTTAAAGCTTATAAGGAAAGCTCAAATGATAATATAATTAAGCATACAACGATTGAATGAAATTTTTTTTTAAAAAGTGCATTTAGCCCTTTCTGACTTAACTAGCAGGAAATAACGCTTGTAAGTATACAATATGTGTAAAATACACTTGGTGATCCAGCCCCATCTATGTTTGGTTTCATGCATTCTGGCATTACTGGCATTTCAAAACAAGCATTTTAAGGGCATTTTCCAAGGGCAGCTCATTGTGAAAGTGGCACTATACGTTTAGACAGCTACATTTATAATGGGCAGTTCTCATTCCTCTCCCTCTTTTTATTTACGTTTGCGTTAAAATAGGACAATTACTGCTCTACTTCACCATTCCGGTCTCATTAATGTGTCTAGTCAGTAAGAATACAAGCACTCAGCGTTTTGCATGATCCTGCACTTGAAATCTCTTTCATCTGTGCCATGTGATAATGTGCGTATGCCCATGAAAATTGGTAATTCTGTCAAAGCAAGTATGAATTCAAATAGAAAATAATCGTAAGGTTTGGGTAGCTGTTACATGTACACATAGGCCTCTTGGTCTCAGTGAGGGCTGTAAAGAAAATAAAGTACAAGTAACTGAATCCAGATTGCCTGACTTTTCTTAATTTCTTCAGAAAAAGTAAATAGCTTCCTGCAAAGACCCAACTTTTCTAAAGTCATTTTGATACTTGCATTTTAATTTAGCTGTGCACAACATACTTATGCCTAAGTGTTTATTCTGAAGGAGACCTACTGGTGTCATCAGCTCACAACCAACGTTCCTGGAAAACTACTAACCTAGGATAGGCTTTGTTTCCCAGAATCTGACGATGTGAACTTTTGCTGAGAATGAAAACGTCTCATTTTAATCATCTTTGGTTTTTTTAAAGACCTTGCCACCATGGAAGAAAGAATACTGAAACGTTACTACAAAAAGGTCACAGAGTTTGTGGCAGACATGACCAAAATTTTTGATAACTGTCGTTACTACAATCCAAGTGACTCCCCTTTTTACCAATGTGCAGAAGTTCTTGAATCATTCTTTGTACAGAAACTAAAAGGATTTAAGGCAAGCAGGTAAGCTGAAGTGTTCCTAATCGTAGATGTTCTGTTGTCCCCTAAAATCTCCTTAATGTTTTTATAAGCTTACCTTGCATTCATACAGGGATTTGCCTCTCCGTGCACTTTCCTAGACAACTGCTTTTCTTCTAGAGGAAAAAAAGAAAAAAATCTGTTCTATAATAGCCAGATGTCATTTTCTGTCAAAATTAAGGCTTAAATATGATTTTGTGGAGGTTACTTTGCAATGTTTGTTCAAAGTAAGTTTTTTAGGTGCAAATTTGGGTGGTATCATAAATCTAGAAAATTTGAATGACACTTTTAAGTCATTGCTGCAGAAAACTTCTTGAAAATAATTTCTGACCAGGACCAATACTGTGTTGTTCTGAGTTCTGATCATGTTCTACTGTGCACTAAATACTTTTCAGATGCTAAAAAGAGACAGTCCTTCCATGAAGCTTACAATCCAATGAAAGAAATTAAAATACTTCAGTTTTTACTACCTTCTCTCATCTTTTTATAATTTACCGTATTTGAAACAGAAGAAATAAGTAAAGTTTAAAGTAGGATATGGAAAACAAAACACAATTCAAAATTTACTATTTAAAATTAAACTTTCTTTTCTAACATTCTGTAGAAGGATCGATGTAGAGTATTTCCCTAATAGAGACATTCCTGAAAAAGAACTCGCAACTCTACAAGTTTTTTCTGTTGCTTGCCCATTCTGTCTGGCAGCACGTACACGGGAGCAGTATGGCTCTAGCCAGACGATAACGTGGTATTCCGTACAGCTGTTCCTAAAACCAGCTTACTGAAAGTGCTGATGGAGTACACAGATTTCTCCTGTAGCACTGCTGTATGCCAACATAAGCCAACTGTAACCGAGTTACAAATGTTGGATGCCTTTCAGCATTACTCAGAAATTGTATACGTGTAGTAGCTAACTTTGTCCACCTGACTGTAACAGTCAAAACTGTAACAGGCTGCTAGTCGAAGATATTAATGCAGATCATATCCATCTGTAATTAAATTGAAAGCTGCACTTTATATCCATTGTTGTGGAAGCTGTCTAATTTTCTGTATGCGACAACAGTAGGATTGATGAGAAGGGGTGAGATCAAATGAATTAGTCCAGCATTTTTCTTTCCAATTTAATACTGTATTAACTATTTTTATCAGGTAGTTTTCAACTCATGTTTCTGTCATCTTGCTTTAGCTGGTTATCCAGCATTCACTGGTTGCACACTGATTTCATTGCTGCATCTTATTTGTTATTGTTTTTCATTTATACCATCCGTGTTCTTTCTTTTCTTGCAGATTGTGATATCTTTAGTCTGAACTTTTTAACTGGAATCAGAACTGGATGTTGGGGTCACTTTCTTTTATTGTACAATTTGATGACATTAAACTGCCCTAAAAATCCAGATCATTTGTCTAAAAAGTAAATGTTGTTGGGGTTTTGGTTTTTGTTACTAGCAGTCATGCTGGTAAACATAAGTGTATTAACAGAAGAATTGTCCCATTCCTCGAATACTGTATTGAGAAAAATGAGAAATTAATCTTGGAAACCATGTATTTTATTGTTTTATTTTCAGTCACTAATAAAACTGTGAATGTCAAAGAGGAGTTTTGCTGAACTCTGATTAGCAAAAAAAGTTATTTTAACATGCCTGTTCGGTTTTTTTCTATTAAGTTAATCCAAAGACTTCTTGAATAAATTTAAGCAAAGTATACCTTATTATAAGTATTCACAATTAAAACTGTCTTTTTGCTTTCCTCTTGATGGACTACTACTATGTAAATATGAGAATAAAACTGATTCCAGGCATTTTGGAATATTCCATTGACACACTGCATTTTACAAGTACTGAAATATTTGTATACTGCAGGAGAAAATGTGCTTAAAGTTCAGAGAGAATTATTTTAAGTGTTCTTTTTTTCTGAAGGGGGGAAAAAAAAATAAATGGAAGCAACATGGTGGTAGTTCCCTCGTTGTGATTTACCCTTGGCAACACCTTGCAGCAACTGTGTTCTCCAAAATGAAGGGTGCTTAATTCTTCACTTTCTTCTGTATTCTGCAGGTCCCATAACAACAAACTGCAGTCTACAGCTTCTTAGAGTTCAGCGTGTTAACCTAACACACGAGCAAGAATCTGGTTGTCTGAAAATTTTTAATTAAGAAGCCAGATGTTTTTAGTCAGGTTATCCTGACAAGACTTGATGTAAACTGCGTTTTTATTGGTCACAACAGTCAAATTATATTCTTGGCTTATTTTGTCCAAAGGACAAAGAAATAAAAATCAGCAGCACCACTTTCTTGTCAAGATCAAATTGTTGTACTATTGTGGCAGAAGCAGGAAAACTTTGTTTTGTTGAAGGAGAGAGAGAAAGAGAGCAAGACAAAAGATACAGTAAATGGGGTCACGTTTAACTCCATGGAAATGCCACGTCTGTTCTTCAGTGAAGAAGCTGGTTTAAAGTCCACACAGAAAACTTTGACTGTATTTATTTATTGTTGCAAAAAAGACGCTTTTTTATTGCTGCCCTCATTTGTCAGCTAATTATTTTTTCTTATAAAATCCAGCCCCGGTTACATGTAATCCATTCTGTATCTTAACATGATTCCTGTAGGTAAAAGTACAAGAAGACCTCTAGATGTCTTTTCTTTCTATGAAAGGAGCTGCTATGTACACATGTGCACACACACAGAACTGGGAATCAACAATGAGTTTATCATTCATGGTAGATAAAAACAATTAAGCTTGCATAAAATTTGGGCTAAGTGGTCACGGACTACAGACTCTGTTGCCTTGAATATAACAGTACAACTTGTCATTTACTCTGCACCAGACTGAAATGAGTAAAATCTATTTGAAGGTATCTTGTTTGTAAACATTTGTCAGATTCTAATTTTTTTCTTTTGTATTAAAATTCAAAATATGGATGTATATGAAACAAAATAAATGGAGATAATTGTTCTCCCCACAGATGTAGGTGTCTCTGAGTGTGCGCTAATATGTTTGTAACACTTTGGGGATGTGTTCAGATATTTCACGTCATAGGGGAGGGAAGCAGACAGGGAGATCCGACTTCATTTTGCTCCAAAGGTAGCGTTTACTCCATTTCATTCCTAAGCAGCTGTTATCCCTTTATAAAATCTCTGCAGTGGTGCCAAAATTACTGTAACAGATAACATGGTAGGAAGTATTTTGTGAAATGGCACCACCCACCGCCGGATTAAGTGATATTTTGCCACGTACCCTAGGAATGTAAAGTACCAAGCGTAGTTGTGTCCCTGAAGGGTGTTCTGGACTGCTTCGTTGTTCCCTGTCTGAGGAGCGCTGCTGTGAGGGATAAATTGAAGTCACAGGAAGATGCAATTGCAGATGACGATGCTGTTTCTTGCCGATCTATCACTTTTCACGCTGCGTATATGAATGACTCGCTCGTACTGCCTGTCTGTAGCTAATCGGCCATGGTTTGTTTGCGGCTCTTCAACCGTTTGACTAGCTTTTGCACTAATTCACAGTTAGCTTCTGTTCTACAGTGGTCTGGGATGTATGGATAAGCTCCGTCTGGGTTTAATCTCACACCTTGCTATGCAAGAACCTCCTCTGTTACTTTTCTTAAAAAGATGTTGCTACTGACCACACTTTCTTACACTTCCCGGCTCAGGTGTACAGGTTCTTCTGGGATAATTTTATCTAATAAAAACCCATGGTTTTTTGTACATAACAAATGTTGTCATTTAACCTATATGTGAAAATGAAAAATAAGTGTTCAATGTGAAAACAATAATCCACTCATGCTTCTTAAAGTTAAAGAAGAGTAGTTGCATTTAGGTTATGTTGTCCTTTGACGTTTAAAAAAATGCTGCATATTGTATGCATTGTGTTTTTAATGCAAAAAGGAAAAAATCTCAGCTTTGAACAGCATTTGAACATATCCTGCATCTCATCAAAACTTCACAGTATTTCTGTACTATTTATTCATATACAAATATATATATGACATCATTTAAAACTTTCCTACCTGTAGGCAATAGATTGCTATGTTTTTAACAGATTGTGGCAAACTGAGGAGTACTTTTTTGTACCTTATAGGACACATCATCCTAGACAAATAAAGTAATGTGTTTGACATGGATTTGGTGGTGTTTCTAATGAAACATTTGATAACGTTATCCTATGTAGCTCTCGGCTTTGCCAGATTACGTATAACTGCCAGTGAATCAGGTTGATTAAGGAAATCAGCTACACATGCAATTTTACCTTGCTGAGAGCCTTTCTTAGAGTTTTCAGGTGCCGTTGATTAGGTTTTGAGGTACTGTTCTCCATTTATCCGTGGTGATCTTGTATAGTTAAAGGGTGTCACTGAAACTACAGCTCATGGATTTAATACCCGCCTTCCTGAGAAGCATGGTAAGTGCGCGAGATCTGTGATCTGTTCAGCCATCCTCCTCTTTGTATTTGTATAAATTATTGCAATGCTTGTTTCAAAATGGTCATATGTTGTAACACAGATTTTGGTACGTGAGCTATACCAGCTTGATTTCCTTTTTGTCTCCTCAAACAAATTTGAAGCAATTATCCTTGGTCTAGATCTGGTTCATGCAAAAGTTAATGGGGATTTAAAGCAGAATAACAAGTTGAGCTTACCCAAAAGCCTTGAGTAAAGCCCTGCAAAGTCAGGAAGACAACAGAATTCTTGCACTCCTGGATTTCTCTGTATTGGCTGCAGAGTTTTCATGCTTACCCTGCTGGGGAAAAGAATTATTAACTGTAACTATCAAAATTACCATGGCAGCTCCTGCATGTAAGTGCTCTCTTCTTTTCAGTGTGGTTAATGCTGTGAGGTTTTTGTAATCGTGAGTGCAAAATTGTGGAAATCCACTTGATCTAGGAATTATTTTTTTTCTTCAGTGTGTTAGTTAGCATGGATGAGCCTGGTAAAAAGTACGAGCAGTGGTTACGCGCCTGCTCCAGCTGTATTTCCCTTGGGCTGTCAATACAGTGGCTTGTTGCTCAGCTGTTGCGATAGCATTTTAAGGAGCGACCTTCCGAGCGAGAAAGGGAAGGTAAGATGACTTTAACACAAAAAGAGAACGCAGAACAAATTGCACTTCAGGCTTGCTTCTAGAGCAATAGCTGTGCCCGAGAGCACGGTGCAGGCCTGTGTCGGTTACTGGCATTTTCCTCGCGCTTTGGATGTCATTAGGATTGGTACACTATTATTTATCTCTTCCGAGAGACAATCAAAATGGGATACAGCCATGGGATACAGCCATGGATATTATTTTTGTCCCCACGCTTTGCCTGTTTTAGGTTATGATAATGTCTCGGGGGCGGGGAAGGGTGCTTAATTGCTGTTCTGGGCGAATGGATGACTGTCGGCCTTGCTGGTTAGTCCCTGGACTTCAGCTGAAAATAGAAACAAAGAAACTCGAGATGCACATGTAACCCTTCCTCCTTCCTTCTCCTGTCCCTCCCAGTCCACTCCAGTGCTTTGATTCATTGCCAGGAACAGTCGTTCTGCCAAATTGAAAGCCCCCTCAAACTCTCTCAGGAGAATTCCATCCGTATATGCTGCACTCCTTGTGAAATCTTTCACGTAACTGGAGCGCAGTGATGTATTTTTTCGGTAGACACAAGCGATGAATAAATTTCTGTCCTATAGGAACAGCCTTTGGGGTCCCACAATGTGTGCTGGTCACTCTTGGTCTTTGGCTCCTATTCCCTATCAATAAATACAGTGTGATTTCCCGCCCAGCCACTGCTCTGCAGACGGGCAGAATTGTGCTAGAACCACCTTTGCTCCAGAACAGAAAATGCTTCCTCTTGCAGGTCACATCATATGTATCACTGTGTATCTATTTTTTTAAGCTAGACTACCTTTTCCCATTTTTTTTTAATATATATCTTAAAATCCCCAGCCAACTCATCGAAGGAGGAGATGCCACTGTTTAATATCATTACATGATCTTTTGGGATCTTTTGGAACCCAGGGAACAGTGAACCCAGAACCCGATGAACATTTTATTAGCTTCTTTTTAAGAGAGTTATGATCTGTGAATACTGACTCTTGGAATAGCCAGCATGAAGGTCCATCCCCTTTGCAGAGGTTTCATAGGTTCTTACATCCCACCACGTTAAAGGTACTGGAAGATTGTATCTTTGATTGGAAAAATAATTTTATTGATGTGCAAGTACAAACTCGGTAACATTTCTCATGGGAAAATGACATTCGGTCCATGGTTCCAGGACTGAGCTGCTAAGGAACTGACGGCGTAACCAGGCGTACAGAACGTGCGTGCAGTTGCATGCTTATTTTGCATTCCTTGGCATGAACTTGTGCCGTTATTTGTAAGCCTAATTGGGCAGTTGTGTTGTGCAGTTATTTCATTTGCTTTCAGTGAGTGTGTTCGTGTACTCAGATAATTACACAGCTATTTTGTACGCTTCGCGTGAAAAACCAGCTCTGAAGGATGATGTAATTTTTAGAAGTGGAATGGACGTGTTGGAGGATACCAGAGCAATACAAATGACACTTGGCTTTGTTGGTTTCTTTCGAATCAAATGCATGTAATACTTTACGCAGAACTGTGTGAAAACAACGGACGTCCTCTATAGATAAAGCTATGGTATCACCTAACATTTGTTCAGGGTTAAGGGTTGGAAAGTGCCGTTACTCCGTGTGTACCTAGAACAACGCCTCCTCAGTTTTACTTTACAATTACTACAGGTTATGAGGGCTACGGTACAGCAGGGGAGGCAACAACAACCCATGGCTCTGAAAACAGCTGGAGCAAATTCATGAGCAGTTAACATTCCCTTGACTGACTTTGGTGCTAAACTTCCCCACATCTGGGTACCTTGTCCAAACATTCGGTGTTTGCTCAAGCACAAAAGCCAGTGTCCTATCACAACCGGCTTCAGCACTGAGAACAACCTCCCGCTGTTGCTAAACCATGGCCGGGTTTATTCTGGTAGGTGAACGCTGCTGCTGCCAGTGTCCCAAAGGGAGGTTCCGGGAGCCTTATCTACATTTAGTGTGAGCCGCTTGCACTTTGCGATTCCTCTTCCTGTTGAACCTCTTCACGTAGCTGCTGCCGCTTCTAAGCAAACCATCCCCTGGCCTCAGGCGCCCTCGCAGGAACCGCAGCAGGTTTGCGGGGATCTGTCGTCTCTTGTGGTAGATCCGACCCATCACAATGTATCTACTGCCTGCAAAATAAAGGAGACTTCTGCGCCATGAAGAAAGGACGGATTCATCCACTGCACTCGCTCTCAGGGCCACGGATTTCTGAATAGATGTGAAGTTGTGCCCTGCAGAAATAAATCCTGAATGCGTGGCTCAGTACAGCGGCACCCTGAACTGCAGTGGGACTCGTGGGTTGTGCTTGCATGGAAATAATGATTTACTGTCTTGTATTGCAACTAGAAGCTTTTTGGGGGAATTACCGGTGTTTGATACACTTGCATTTAGAAGGAAAACCGGACTACTTACAAAGACATCAGCTTAAGCGCCTGCTTAAATTTTGTTGGCAATCCTGAAAATTCTTGCAATCATTTTGAAAGAGGATGAAGTTAAGAAAGGACCACGCTGCTACCTGACTTCCTCATGCAGCTGGTTCTGTTCTGAAAATTTAGAGAAACTGGTAGGGAAAAATCCCTCCAGTTTAACAGTAAATACTTTCCCCACACCCACCCGCCCCCCCAAATATCACAACCACCCAGGATAAGCCTATTAAACTAGGGCAGACTAGAATTGCACGGCACGCAGGAGGAACAGTGGAATGGACTTAGCTGGAATTATTTACCAAGTTTAAAGTCTGGACACGGTTTACTGCAGTTTAAAGTATCCACAACTAGAACGTGAACTCGAAAGAAGAAGCCATCAGGAATAATGTACAGGCGATTCATCTTGTACAATCCATCGCTGTTTACCAAAAGCGTAACCAAGTGGACTCCATTCCCCAGTCTTTCCATGTTATAAACGATTCCGTTCACTGCTGTTTTAAGGGAGGGAGGGGAGGGAAAAGCAAGCATCAGATCACGTATCTTGGTGGCAACTCGGGGTATATGTGAAGGCTGTCATTTAAAATGCTGTAAAGTGTCAGCAGAAATTCTTTGGCTCAGTTGGGGGCAGCCTTGAAAGTAGGAGTTGCTTCAAATAATCACATTTGATGAGGTCATCACCTTAGTTTTTGCTGAACTACTAACCTTACGCTTTACAGGTTTGAGATGTTTCTTAGTGAAGTGATGGTTTTGTACTGTTTTCCATCCTGATATACAAAAAGTGGACGTATTTACCTAACAAAGTAAAATTTTCAAATTTAAAACTTCATGGTGAGTCCAAAGCTAACCTGCTAATCAAATGCTTCAGCTTTTGAAAGGAAAGGCCCTCATCATACCAAGAGGCAAGGGCACCAAGTAGGCCATGTTGTATACTCAACGAGCACTTCATGCTGTCCTCCCAATTTCTGGTTTTGACAAGCGCTGAGCTGACTACAGGAGTCAGAAAACAACAAAATGCCTTGGGCAGGGAAGGCAAGCGGGACTTCTGTAACTGGCGCTACACCCGCCTCACTGGGCAGGAACTTTGATTCAGTCATTTATTCTTCAATCTGCACTGTAAATGTAAAGAAATGAAAAGTGTGCTCTGGTCACTGCAGTGGAACCTCAGCTGCTGTGTTGCTCAGACTGTCCTTTTCCTACCTGTCTTTCTCAATTTAAGAGATGAATGAGATCGCTGTTTGCTAAAGGCTGAGATCTACAAAGGTCAGGTCGCTATAAGGCCTGCGTTTGACAGGAATGCGTGAGAGTGGTAAGAAATAAAGAATATAACATTTGTAGAAAGCACTTCCTGACTTCTCCATTTAGAGAAAACAGATGTCTCGTAACGTGTTTATATTCTACAAATGGAAACATCTGTTACCACTAGGCATGTATTTTGCTTATCTCTTAAAATACTGTGAGAAAAAGCTGGTATCTATTTCATGACTTTGTAAGCACAAGGCAAGATTTCAGTCAGAAAATGCTTGCTCTTAAACAGTCAGTACAAAAATGCCAGGCTCTTTTCTACCACCTTTAGCTGCATCAACTTGGACATCAGGACTACAGACGTTGAGCCCTAAGGAACTTCAAGGAGAATCCTCTATACAGAGAGGATCACAGTTTTATTTTTGTTTGGTTCTCCATTTTATTTGCATTTGAAACTTTAGCCCCCAAAATCACAAACTTGCTCTAAACAGAAAGGGGTAAGTAACACAGCTACAATGTTTAATCTTAGAGTATCTTAAAAAAAATTGGTCTTTTCAGATCCGTTGACCCGCAGCAAGAACATTGTCTTCATCCCAGGAGTGAAAAGTAGAGGAAACAGGAAAAAAGAGCAATACTAGCCCAAGGTAGGGAAAGGGTAATGTAAGACTTGGTACTGTTTGTTCTACTACGTTTATGAAGAGCTGTGATGGGTCCTTTTATTTAACGTACTTGCTGAAACAGTAAGCAGTAAGCTCAAAAGCAGAAGTGAAACGTCAGTAATAGAGGAACAAAGAAGGTGCCTGCTTTGTCTGCGCCACAGCGGACACAACTCACCGAATTCACTCGCACAGTAGGCCTCCACTTCGTCTCTCTCCTTCTCGCACTCAGTCAGACATGCCTTCTCCTTGTCACCATCTAGAACAGGCAGGGACACTGAGGGACAGCAATGGGCCCTTTGGGGATATTTCACCCAAATTATGCCACCCAACCTTTGGAAAGGTCCGGATACCCCTTGCCAGGGCAGTCTGTCCTCTTACCTTTCTTCAGCGCAGTGAAGTCATATGGCAAGCTGGCTGACTGGCGGTTGGTGACCCAGGAGGGTTTGCTGATCTTTTTGAAGAGATCAGTATGTTTATAGGGGATTATCTTGCCTGGTCGGTTGAAGTGATCCAGTGTGTTGGGATCATCTGACTCCACTGCTCCAGAGTCTGGAAAAGAATGAGCCTCCACGAAGGATGTCATCTTTTGATAGGAAGACGCTGCGTGATGGAAGTGAGCTGACACACTGTTGGCAGCCTCAGCCAGCCGTCTATCCGCGCGCTTTCTGTTCACGTGATTGAAGTCAAAGGAGGCCGGAGAAGGCCCCTCAGTCGGGCTCTCCAGAGGCAGGGCCCCTCCATACCACAGGAGGTGTTTCCTCAGCCCTGTGCTGTTCTCTAGTGACGGCTTGGCACGTTTCTTTTTGTCTGATGAAAAGGAGATGATATCGGGAGGTTTTGCCTGCTGTGGGTCGGCAGGAGACAGAAGCCAGCGTTCGGTGTGGTTCTCTCTGGTGCTGCTGGTGCCCCAGGCGGGCAGTTTGACTTGGCCAGGTGCAGCACCTGCTGAGCCATAAGCATCTTTGCTGAGAGTCTGACTGGGTTTCTCGGCATAGGGCAGGGATCCTACGTACAAAAAAAGGAGAGAGAGTGAATTAGCATTTTAATTTTTTTCTTCTGCATGGGAAGTGCCTGGAAGATTTTAGGCTCTAGTCCATAAGTGAGGCCTTCAACAATATGACAATATAACAGATAAATAGTTCAACAGATGCTCACTCTTCTGTACTCAAGACAGGGAAGGACCAGTACAGAGAATGCAGCTGTGTGAGCAAAACACAGGAGATTTGCATTTTTACTTTATTATTGTTGCAAATTAAAAACATGACTTATAAACAAACCCTTTTCTCAAAAGCCTGAATCTCCAGGGAACATCTGAGGAAACAAGGTTCACATTGCCATTTGGGATGCTTGTTTAAAAGACCATGACAACAGAACTATTTGGTTTTCCCATCCATGGGATGCCTTATTGACAATGTCATCTGAACTCTTCAGCGGCTTTGGGCTTTGAACGCTACTGAAAAGATCTTTATCCACAGTTTTGGGTCTCTGGCTTTTGCACTGCAGAGTTGTATAGTAGTACCATAGTCTGGTAGCTAGGCTATTGCTGCTGAGTAACAATTATTTCAAGGCTTTTCTTAAGCTGAGAGGACAAGGGTTAAGAAAGAGAGGAAGTGTCTGGGAATCTAGTGAAAAATGGAAGGGCTTAATGACATTGCTCACACAAGCTGGACACCTAGGCCTTTGTTTGTACTTTCACCTTGGTCACTTGGACCTCACAAAGCAAAATGACCTTCTGTTTAGCCTGGGAAGCGAGAAATTTCCTCCTGCAGTTCACTTTCCTTTTACTTTAGTCCTTCACTGCATGCCTTTAGTTAGCCAGCAGAGTTTTAAAACAGTTCACCCACACACAGCCGCTGTCTGGGTGTTCGCTGTCTGTGGTTAGCATCGTGTAGGAGGCTGATCCTAACTCCTTATGTGAAAAGAGATATTTGCCATACACAGATGAACAACGTCCTGGTTTATCTTCTGTAACTGACTCAACTGCTGACCTTGCCACTTCTCCCCCTTTGCTCTCACCAGCTGCTGTCATGGGAAAGATTCCCTGATATTTGGGCTGGCCACACGTAAAGTCAAAAGAATGTCCATGAAGAACGGGGTGGAAGAAGTCCAAGCTAAAGAAAGCAATAGGCAAGGGTGTGTTGGAGATGTTTCAGTATGACGCCGTAAACTCTGAACAGGTGTTTTGGTCTTGGTTTTATAAGTATACTCTTCTACCAGTTTATCATGCCTTCTTAGTCATGGATTGTAACAAGAAACAGTTCATTTTTCTCTACTCAATCTGTTCAGGACCTTGAGGTTCATTCTCCTATACCAGTATATTTCTGTCTAGCTCCTGCAACCTCAGAAATACATCTGCAACACAATCAGCTCCTTCCCCATGGAATAGATGTGTATCTTATTTCTGTTCCATCAATGAGGCACTAAAAAAAAAAAATCCATTTAGGGCAGCTTGCTGCAGGCACACATGACAGCACAGAGCATGTTGAAATAAATTAGAAATCTGGAGTTTACAGGTGACAGGAAAGGAGACTAAAAGAGAAAGGTCGCATGCAAATAAAAAAATCCCATCTGTGGAAGCAAGTCAAACTTCAGTTGCTGAATGAGGGCTAGCAGGATTCATGGCACCAGCTAATTGCCTGCTTTTGGCAGGTGCTCTTAACTCTTTCAAATGCTGACAAATCAAATATTGCAATTTACATTCCCATCCCACAAACATGTTGAAATGTTTCTTTCTCCAGCCCTTACGCGATTACTGCTACCCCTTGCTGAAAAGACTAAAGCTGAAGGGGGTTACTTGGGCAAGAATTCGTAGTAATGTGTTCAGTCTCCCCAACACCCAAGGCAAATATGCCCCAGCCCCGCTGCAAGTGTTAACAGACTTACCGGCCACTGAGCTGGAAGATGATCTAATGACAAAGCAGAGGAGCCAGAACACTTTGGTTGTCATTTTTGAAGTAAAGTTTTTCCAGACTCAAAGTGAACTGGAGTCTTTTATGCCCTTCCCCCGATTCATGCTAATGAGAGGCAGCCTTAGGGGAAACGGGAATCACTCACTGGACAACCCACTGGAGCAAGACCAAGCTGCTGCCGTCCCCGCTAGCCTCCCACTGCCCCTGCCTAGGAGGAACACGCACGGACATCCCCCTGCCCATTTATACACAAGCCTATGCCACCTACAGTCACCTGGGTTTCTGTGAATAACACACAGTTATGTGTTTTTAGCAATGAATTTTTATTTTAGGGGAGGGTCTTGCTTCCTATGGTGTTTTTTTACAGAAAAAACATACAGAACAAATATGGCTTTACTGGATACAGAGAACCACCTTTTAACGTGCAATTGAGAGATGCTGGAACATGCATCACCTCTGCGATTCAGCGTCTGCAAAGGACGTGCATTACAACAAAATATATTTAGGTATTTCTGGCCACCTCCGGTTGCGCAGCTGGTAATCTTCTTGTTTAGTTTAAGGAATCCGTCCCAGTGATTCTTTTCAGACTGAAAAATGTCATAGTTACTGTCCAGTCCAAGGGACAGCTCTGCTGGCCCCAGATAAAGCTTTATTTTTATATCCATCTTTGCTAACATGAAGAACTCTGCACATTTTCACACACCAAGCCAACTCTGATTTGGATTACTGACTTAAGTAGGCTTATTCCAGTGTTCCCAACTGAAACGGGTGACCTTATTGCTAGACCGGATTTCCATTGTGACAGTTTATCTCGCTAGCTGCTACTGGATGTCATGAAAGTTAGCGAACTGGTTCACGCCATTACGGTGCTACTAACAACTTAAAAACTTTATAAAAGCTCTATATCCCAGCTCCTGAAACTCAACAGAAAATCTGCCCATCAGTAATGCCTGTGTCATGTGGTCCAGCTATTGCCCAGTTTAAACACTGTTTGTTTTGTACTGCCTTAATTAAGCAGTTCAATAAAATTCTTAAAGGTACAGGGCTTTATCTCAAGCAGCTATGGGTGAAGATACAGAAAATTAGCTAGAATAGTGTGCAAAACAAATGAAGTGTTAACACATCCGTTAGTGTGTTAAATTTCTACTGCGGCATTTATTAATCCTTATTTTCCTTTGTTATTTTAAACATTTTCATTCCAAAAGTATGCCAAGATAGCTATTATGGAAACAGGAATTTAAGCTAAGGATGAGGCAGAGGTGAGCCCCTATGTTCTTTAGGTACCTCATCTCCCACTCAGCCATACCTGCAGCAAGGGAAGGAAGTCACGAGTGCGACACGCTCGTGCCATTTGAGGGTTGTGCTGAGGATGGATGGATGCACACGTGAGCGTCCTGCAAACCTTCCGTGCTCCGGGGAGTCTTCTGGTTAGATTAGTGGGGAGCGTAACTCAACCTGGGTGACTATGTCTGCGTTCAGGAGCTTCCCCAGACTCTGTACTCGGACAGGCTCTTGATTAAAAGAACAGTGGGAGCGTTTGGAGCGTTTCTACCGTTCAGGAAGCTACACGTACGCCAGCGGCAGCACAGAGGGGAAAAGCTTGCCCAGGGGGACGCCCTGGTTTGAGGAAAACGGGGGCCGACAGGGGAACGGCCACGTCCTAGTCCGACAGACCGCGGGCAGCAGCAGCTCTGCGGGCCCGGCTTCCCTCCCGTGTTTACCACAGCGGCTCTGCAGGACCCCCGGGTGCGGCCCGGAGACGCGCCCCCGGCCGGCACACGGCGGCG